GCGGCGGGAGCATCGCTGCGCTCCCTCCCAGTGCCGCACTCTCCCTAGTGAGCCACAGGGTCGGCCCCTCAGTTTGTTTTTTAAAATTTGTTTTCAGTTTTTTTTAAGACTGACTGCTTAGGAGTTGCTCGTGTTTTTGCATAGTCTAGTTGCTGATCAGTGACTGGGCAGAGGTTGTACTCAACCACCTCAGGCCAACAGATTTCTGTCTCCTGCCAGTGGATCTGGGTGTGGATAGTGGAGAACATGCAAAACTCAGGCCATTTTCAAGTTGGGCCAGTGTTACTGGGTTCCTTTGTGTCTCTCCTACATGCATACGTACAGCACTAGAGGGATATGTGGCTGGACTGGGTCCTCTCTGGTCTGTGCTGCACATGCATGCAGCCTCAGCTGGCTAAATTCATGCCACAACCACACATTCCAGTCTAGTAGAGGCCACTCTGGCCACATAGTGGAGGTGTTGGCCTTTTCTCTTTGCTTGGCTCCAAGTCAGTCATGCACATCAACAATGTCACTGGGCATGGGCACTGCCTAGTGGTCCAAATTGAATGTCCCCCTTCTACTGTGGCAGAGAAGCTTCCGGTCCCCATGGCCTGACCTTTCCTGCGAGTAGCTGGAGAGGGGTGGGAGCAGCTCAAGCCTGGATGCCACTCTCCTTATCCTAAGTTTAGCAGTTTGTCAGCCATAGCACTGCTCAGATTGTTGTGTGCTTTTGGTCAAGTTCCAGAATTCTGAAATAGTTGTTTTTGTTAATTTTGTACAGCTTTATAGTTACTTTTTGGGGAAAGGATTTGCCAACTTCTTTACTTGATCATAACTTGTACCCTTGATTTTTTTTGTCTTCTGTTTCTTTTCAGAAAATAAAATTTTACATTGTAATAAATTTGATAAATCTTCTACTTTATCATAATATGTAAATGTTGTTGCTTAAAATGATGATTTTTCTCTGCTAGCTCTGGAAACTCTCTACATTCCTGTGTTCACATTGCTGGCATTTCTTTGCTGGCACGAGGACATGAGTTCTCACATTCATGCAGATGTTCTAAGATTGGGCAAAGAGGTGTCACAGTAAAAATTTCTATTATTTCTCATATATCAAATAATTATTGCAGGCTGTCCTCAGGAAGACCACATATCACTGCAATTTCTCTTGTATATCCTGTTATTCATTTTGTTTCACATAAATGATATATATTCATTTTCATAAATCTGTTCACATTCATGTAACACAAAGATCTAAATTGCTCAGTGTTAGTGAAGAGTAGGGCATCCTATGATTGATTCTGTGATTCTAAAATGACAGTCTGTCATTGAGAAGTTTCTATATTGGACAGATTCCTCTTAGCTTTGAATTCCTCTTTTGTTGCCTTTTCTTTTTCCTTACCCCAGAGGATAAAACACAGGGCAGGAAACTGAGGATTAGAACCTTTTCTACCACTTTACTTTCTAAGAGAAATTAAAATCAATCTAATCAAAGATGACTAGGACTGCTTTGTCCTCATATGTCAAAACTGATACATGAATTACTTAAATACACGAAGACCTTAAATCTTGGCATCATCTCACCATATTTTTGTACTAATCAGCTGAACTACACATAAAGGGAATTTGGTGTTCATTTTCTTGAGTGAATGGTCAGTGATTGCTTTCATTTTTGTTCAGTTCCCGGTTTTGTATATTCTTGAGTTAGTAGACCACCAAAATTTCTGTCTCTGCTCTCCAGGCTCGGATTTTGTGGTATGCCACATATTTGAAGGGTATTCATTAGATAGCTAATAACAATTCAGTTGGAACTACCATTTCATTTATTCTGAAGCCTTAATTTTTACTGGTTGATATTTGAACCTTCACTTGTCTGAGCTATGTGGAAGGAGGTAATATATTAGTGACCTCATCTGCTACTTCTTTAATTAGAGTACCTACAGTGCACTCATAAAAATTATATGACTGCTTTATATTGAAATTAATGAAATAAACATGGAGAGAGATGTTTATACAGAAAAATATATGAAGCATATTTGGAATGTTCACAGAATGTATTCCCTTGATTTCAAGTTAAGCTACTATAACAAAAACCTCAAATTACAGTGACTCAGATGCGACCTCTTTTTTTTCTCTCACTTAACAATTTATGTCATTGCACTGTGCTCCATAAAGCCCACCGGGGCCTCTGGTCCTCCCCACCACGTCACTTACTCATCTGTGAGACGTTCTCGTTGCCATGGTTGGCATTGACTTCCCAGTGCTGTGTCTATATCCCTGCTCAAGAGAAGGGGAAAAAAAAATCCAGGTCAGGTGACTCACCTTATTTCAATCTGACCCAGAAACTGTATACTCCATTGACCTAAACTTGATGTATGTACATGTCTAGCAGCAAAGAAGGCTGAGAAATATAATTTTGATCTGATGTCCGTCAATCCAACTAGCAGACTGCTTTAGGACTGCTTACTGATAATAACAATGACACATGCTCCCTGTCAGAAATTTGGATATTACAAAATGGTAAAAGAAGGATAAAAAATCCACCATTAATTTTACTTTTCAGATATTGATAGTCGTATATTTTTTGTTTTTTCTTTCTAGGAAAAAAAATTTTTTTGCATACACGTACAATTTTCTGAATATCCATTGTCATTTTACCATGATAACCTTTTCTCCATGCAATTAATTGACTCTAGAGAACCTCATCTTAATGGCTTACTAACACGTAGGTGCACTCTCACATATGAGTATGATGTTAACCTACTGTGGAACATTTACCCATTTCCGGATTTTTACTATTATAAATAAGTAGTTACATGCATTCATATTTTCTGTTTCCCAGGGCAAGTTCCTAGAAAAGGAATTATTGGCAAGTTCCTAGAAAAGGATTTATTGCCAAGTTTGTTTTCAAAAAGTTATGCCAATTTTTACTCCCACCAGCACTATGTGAGATGACCTGTTTAGAATTACTGAGGAAAATTTGTTTAACTCTTTGGATATTTTTTGATCTGAATACTCATTGTTTTGATTTGAAATGGGGATGGGAAAAAAGCACATTTTCCTTTGCAACATACAAAAGCACACATGATGAATGTCTCTCTGGCTAGAAAATTGTTTTAGAATCAACTGATTTGATGGCTAAGATTTTAATTTGTTTGTATGTTTATCAGCCACAAACAGTTCTTGGAATAGTCCCTGCATGTGATTTGCCATTTTTTCTCTATCGGATTTATTTTGTGTTTCTAAACTAATGTATATGAGTTCTTTATAGTGAGTATATCAACCCCTACCCATTATGTTTGTTACAACTATTTAAATGTTAGGTCTCTGTGTCTTGACACACTTATTAGGAGTTTATAGTTTTGCATTTTCAAGTATCTCAAAGGTCTCCTTCACAGTTTCTTCCATTGCTGTTATGCTTAGAAAGTGTGTTCTCATCCTCAAATCATTTATGTATTTGAGGTATTAGCATCTCATTTTGGGGTCTCTTATCTTGTTCTAATGCCATCTGACTTGTGATACTTTAGTGTGTTGCCTCATTTCAATCATTTTAGCTATATAACAAATATTAACATTTTCTGGAGCAAGTCTTCTCCCCTGACTCTTCTCTTTCAATAATTTTCTTCCTTTCACTAAGTAATTTTAAAGACATACTTTGTAAATATTTTCAGTATATAAATATAGAAATAAATATATATATGTTTATAAAGTTTTTCATGGGGATGATAAACTTAAAATTTCTGTTGGTGTCACACTATACCTATGTTATAATTTATATTTTTATATAAATATAATTATTACTTACAAACATTTATATAACATATTTGGTATTAAATAATATTAAGTTACATTATAATTTAAATTATAATTGAAAATTAATGTTATATATAGCATTATTTTTTGTATTACATTGTACACTATATATAAATTATAATGTGTTTATATTTTATATATAATTACTGTTATTTTATATTTACACTAACATTATACTAAAATTGTTTTATGATACACTAATTTTCATATTATAACAATTTTCTCATGTTTAAAATATTCTTTTTTGTTGTTTTTTTAATACCTCCTTCCATTGATTCTAGATTTCATTTGTGCCCTTTAGTAAAGTTTTCTTGTTTCTTTTTATAAAACATTCACATTTTATTGTTACAATCACTCTTATTTATTTTGTGTTTTTGTACTATTGCTGAATGGTTCTCTCCCCTTAATTTTAGTAGTCTTCCTGGTACCTGAAAATGCTTATAATTTTTTTAATTGTATAATTGGCTACCTAAAATATCATCAATTTCAAAAGCATTTTATTTGGTTTTATGATGTATTTATATAAAAAAAATTAAACAATTTTCAGTAATGTTATTTTTGTCTACTTTTTATTTTTGAAGTTTGAGTCAAGCCTCACATCTTTAGGACATGGCTCGTTTATATACATATTTCTTTTTATTTCCTTCAGCATGGAAGAATGTGAGGCTCTTTGCACAAGACTGACCATCATGGTCAATGGCAGCTTCAAGTGTCTTGGTTCTCCTCAGCACATTAAAAATAGGTATGTTGAATTTCTTTCTTGTTTACATGTTTACTATAAAGTCCTTAGTATGATGCTTTAGAGACAGTTATGATCCAGTCACCTCCTGGCATAAAATAGAAGATGTAGGCCCTGAGAAATTAAAGGATATGTTTAAAATACCTTAACTATGAGCATGCTAATTACTCTGATTAGATCATCACACATTTCATACACGTATTGAGGTATAACTCTGTACCCCATAACTATGTACAGTTAATATTTTTCAATAAAAAGTAATTTTAAAAAATACCGTAACTAGTCACTAGTCAAAGACAGAGCCCAGTGTTTTTTCTACAGCATTTTGGTTTTTGTTCCCCCCCAGGAAGACATTGTACATTTGTAGGGTTGGGGATATAATATCCGAGTCAAAATGAAGACAGGACAAGAAATGTCCTCATTGCATACAAAATGCCTGATAAAAAGGTTATACCAATATATCCCTCATCCAGAGAGAGTCAGAGTTCCCATTTTACCATACCAAACACTGTACATTTAAAAAGATCTCTATCAATTTAAGAGGGTAAAAGAGGGTTGTTGTTATGCTTTTTACTTGCACTAAATAAAGACTTTTTTTTATCCCCTGTGCTTGTTAATCTCTTAAATTTCTTCCTGGTTAATTGCCTCATCATGTCTTTTTCCCATTGACTTTTTGGAGTCTTCATGATTTTGTTATCAGTTTCTATGAGCACTTTTGTGTCCTGGCATAACTTTTCTTTTTCTTTTTTCTTTTCTTTTTTTAAGGTTAGAGTTGCCTTAATGATTTTCTAATTTTCTTTTTATTTGTTGTTTGAGCTGTTACTCTTTATAAAGAATAATTTATTAATTTATGTTGATAAAGCTCTCATTTTCATTTATTCTAACCTTTTTAAAGGTTAGAATTCTCAAGCAGAGATTTGGTGATCATATATATATATATATAACAGTCAACTGAACTGTTGCTTGCTGCTTAGGGTCAATCTCTTGTCAGGTGAACCTACGGGAAACTGGAAAACTATTCTCAGTATGTACTCTGCTCACATTTAATAAGTTTCATCAAAAGAAAACCAATATTGGGCCAGCCTGGTGGCGCACTGCTACAGTGCACCGCTTGGAAGTGCGGCGGCGCTCCCGCCGAGGGTTCGGATCCCGCATACAGACCGAGGTGAGTGAGGTGCGGGCTCAACACCGAGGGTTGCGATCCCGTTGCTGGTCCTGGTCTGGTACGGGCGTGACACTGAGGGTTGTGATCCGTTGCCGGTCATGAAAAAAGACAAAAAAAAAAAAAAGAAAACCAATATTTTATACTCCTTAACCTTCATGAATGCCTGCATGAAGTTTTATAGCCCATTCATGATTGTTGGGTGATTTATGTCTGAGTTTAACTATTTGCCTTGCATGAGGGTTACTAAAGTTGGCTGCCAGAGCCAGAAGGACAAAACACCTGGGAAGAGCTATCCTCCTGTGAGTACGGTCTACGTACTCGACTATCTCTGCCTGCTTCTGACTTTTGGTTCTCATGATGTGCTATATGGGCTGAGGATCAAGTGGTAGTGAATATGAACTCTGAATGATATTAAGCAAGAAATGTCTTGTGGGTTATTGGTTGAAGCATTGAACTTAATACAGTTTTTAAAATAATTGGTAAAGTTTGTATTCTCCTATAACAAATAAGCCTATAATAAATAAACATGTGACTGCCTATATTTCCATAATATTGAAATGAAGAATAAAGGATTAATCATGAAATAGCATCATCAGCTGGATTTTACACACTCTTGGCTGTCCACGCCTGGGAGTCCTCAACGTCAGTTCCCATTTCTCTCCCCGTGATGTGAAGGTGTTGATGTGGAGGAGAGAATCCGCAGTAGGGCTCCCTCCTCCTCCTCTCCATCCCTTTTTTTGTGCCATGATCCTTAAGCACTCTTGTTCTGGGGGCATTACAGCATCCAGGACCTGGACTCTTGTTTCAGACACTCTTATCCACACCTCAGAGGGCAGGAAACAGTTATCTGTGGGACTTTTGTTACAAGGGCAGAAAGGAGATTATCTCCCAAGTGTCCCGATGACATCGCCGTAGGATACGACCTTGAGTGGGGACTAGAAGGTGACTGGTGGTGTCTAGTGGTGACTCTGGACTGGTTTTGTAAGTGGCCTGAGTGCTAAGGCACCCACTGGGCTTCTACAGACAGGACACTGGAGCAGAGATGAGTGCCTGGCCCTGGTTTCCCCTGAGTTTCTGCCATGTGACCTCTCTGCTCCTGTCTCCTCAGCTAGAACATGGGTCATCATGAACTAAACGAGTGTGAAAGAACTTAGGAGAGGGCCTGGCACAGGCCATGGTTTGATGTTTATTACCGTTATTACGGCACGTGATTTGTGTAGATGTGGCTCCCCTTCCCGGTGCCTCCCATTGGTACGTTGCAGGAGCAGGGAGCACGGGAGGGAGCCAGTCAGTGAGCTGGCTCAGCCATAGTCCTCGTGAGAGCGAATGAGAGCCACAGCCGAACCCACAGATGGAAATGCATGTTGACAAGCAGTGGGTTTGCACGGGAGTATGCTGCTGAGAGCATCCACAGCATGTGCGGTGGCCAGGAGACTTGTGCATTGGAGAACAGGAAGTCAAAGGTGGTCTTGCAATTTGGGCTTGAGGGAACATAAACAGAGTGAGGAGTGAGGAAGAAAGAGTAGGGAGCCAGGGGGATGTGGGAAGAGGATCTGAGGAGCTAACTCAGGAGAAAGCAATGGTTTGGGAGGGAAGGTCCTGAGTCCGGGTTGGCAGGACTTCCCGTGGAGGTGCAGGAGGCTGGCGGGTGCAACCCAGGCTTGGGCTGGGGGATATCTGCCTAATGGGGAGAGCTGAAGCCAGGAGCGGCAGAAACCCCACAGAGGCAGGACCAGAGGGCCAAGCAGAGGGAGGGCAGGGCTGGGGCCTCAAGACCATAAGATAAGGGCAGGTACAGCAAGAGCTGCTGGGATAGTCAGGTAGAGCGAAGCCAGGAGAAAGCCAGGCTTAGCCACCGTCTAGCTTCAGAAGCACAGCGCTGATCTTGACCTCTCTGACCATCAGAAACCATCACCCTTCAGTACCACTTTCAGCAGGAGCCTGAGGCTTGCACCCAGTGTGCTAGTTCACACGTAAAACAGCCATCATTTAGGGTGGGGGAGAGAAAGCAGAAAGGGGATGTAAGGAGGAGAAAAATGAAGAGCCCCAGACACATAAAGACCAGCCCCACCCACACAAAGAATGTGGGTAGAATGTAGATGGATAAAAAAGAGAAACGAAATAGGAGAGAGCAGTGCAACTGCCCAAACCAAAGAACTCACCCACCAGGTCCTGACCCTGTGGCACAGGCAGAGACTGAGTGCGATGGGACCCCAGATGAAAAACAGCACTTCCCTGGGAACTCTGGCCCTGTCCTGGCTCCCTGAGTTTGTCCCCCCTCTCTCAATCTGGAGAGCAAGACCAGGTTCAGGGACTGTCCCCCACCTCCAATCTGCAGCGGTCACTCCTTACCACCCTCTGTTGGTGGTTTTGGTCGGCCCCCTATTCACAGTGCCCAGATGTTTCCCTCCTGCTGTGCTCATTTGACTTCCTTCTCTGGGTCCTGAGTGTAGCCCACAGTACTCCACCATCAAAGAAGGGTTCCTCCAGAGGACCCCAAACTTGATGACCCTGCTCCTATCTGAGCATTAAGGCCCCAGCACCCTGCTGCAAGTCTGGACCTGCCTCCTCCCCAGCCCACTGCTTTAAAACAGCACATTGATAGAAAAATTGAGGTACAGTAAGGCCAACAGATCAGAAAATGACTGCCATTGAAAGGACAGTTTGTTACAGTTCCCATGAGGAGGGTGCACCCCACACAGGGACACATGAGGGAGCATCATAGCAGTCGGGAAGCAGAAAGGAGAGGCAGGAGGATGTGGGCAGAAGCCTCTATTGTGGGTTCCATGGGAAAGAACAGGCGAGGCAGCGTACTCAGGGCTGGCTGGCCTGAAGGATGTCAGCAGCTCTGGGACATAGGGCCTGTCCCCAGCTGTCTGATATCTGGCCCTGGGGTGATTAGGGCAGATGGTTAGTGGCCCAGAGTATGAGAGACCCATAGAGGAGGGCTGGGGTGTCAGCTCTGGGTCTGCTGATTTGTGTTTGAAAAATGCATTTGCAGGCAAGTTGTTTACTCTCTTTAGGAACTGGCTAGCTTGTGTGGGGCAGGGTGGGGCGGGGGTAAGCCGTCCAGGATCAGCAAGACTCCAGATGTCAAAGCATCAGAAATACAGACAATAAAAGGAACGGTTAATGTACCCCATCCCCAGGACTCAGCGAGGCCAAGTGGAGGCACAGGCGTGAAGGCCCCATGTTTCCTCTGGTGGAGGAAGCCAAACCTGCCCACTTTGGAGAGGAAGGCAGGAGCTGTGGCTTTGGTGAGGGCCCTGAATTCCCTCTCATCTTCCTTGGTGTAGAGTTTTGCTCTTTCTGGAAAGATTTTCAATTGCATATTTCAGTGCTATTGTCTATACCATGAATTTGCAAACACTGAGCTTATGGAGTTGTCCTGTTGAAAACGAAGATCCTGTGTGACCAGTATGAGCCAGTCTTCCCTGGTGAAGGGTCACTGAGAAAAATGGATGCAGTAGATAAGTATCCAGTTTGAGTGCATCCATTGAAATCAGGTAATTTCTTTCACTCTGATGCTGTTTCTTGCCCAAGTTACAATTTAGAAAAAGGAAATCAGCATTAGAGCTTTCAGTGGTAAAATTGAGGCTGTATGCTTCTGACATTTAGTATTACTTTAATAAACATTTATTGAAACCCATCAATAGGATACAGAGATTGGTCCGATTCAGTCTGCACACACATTGGTGCTGATAATCGCATAGAGTGAGACATGCACACACCCGGGGATATCATAGGGCCCAGTGGGCCACACATTATAGAAAAAATATCACATGTGGGGTCCTGAGGAGGAGAAGACCTTTAGTCTCTCAGTCCTTGAAGTACAGGT